TTTGTTATTTTTCGGTTTCAAACCGAAACCGGTTTCATAAAGAGGTTGCGGAAGAGTTTTGTACTGTAGTACAATATTTGCATGTCGTCACGATGTAATGACGTCACTGCCTTGGTAACCGACGTCACGATGCATGTCAGTTGTCATCGCCTCGTACAGCCTCCTACAGTAAACTACTCCGTAGCACCCCGTTTCTTGGTTTGCAGTTGCTTCATTCGGCTAACATCACTGGCGGAAACATTGCGTTTACGTCTTTCGAAGGATATAATGTCTCAGTTTGACTCACAATTAAACAGCGACACGGCAACGTTCGCGATGTTTACATTCCCACAATGCATTTAAGTTGTAGAATGAATGAATTCACGTGTTTGTTATGAATGAAAAAATAGTTACGTTAGAATGTGACCTAATTGAGTGGTCATCGGTTATCCAATCAAATCGTAGAATCTCAGGTCAAGTCATTACGACACAGGTCAACGCGATACGACACTCGTGTGACGTACGAGATTAGTATGCAACTACCCATACGTTGACCACGTGGGTAATAAATAGATATATTAGACTAGAGCTTCGTGGATCAGACAAAGGTTTACTAGACCAGCTTCAGTTTGTTTGTTGTTTAAGCCTGCACACAGCAATATTCCAGCTATATGGCAGCAGTCTGTAAATAATCATGTCTGGACCAGACAATCCAGTGACCAACAGCATGAGCATCAGTCTACGCAATTAGGATATGATGAAATGTATGAACCAAGTCAGCTAGTTTGAACATCCGATTCTGTTAGTCACCTCTTATGAAAAGCATGGGTTGCTGAAGACCAATTCTAACCCAGATCTTGAGACTAGTGGTTTAAGCCACAGACTGTATTATTCCATACAAAAAGACTGTTTTCATACAGTGTTTGATTAAATATATACTTATACATGTAATAGAATATGCTATGAAAAAGAAGACCCACAAGGTTTTGTAGCTCACCTGATATATGAAATATTTTAGAAACGGCATTTAATTAAATAATGGTAGCATTACATTTTAAAACATTTTGAATACACTTGCTATAGTGAACTAAAAAAACCTCTAAGACAAGAAATGAAATTGGTCTAGACTATTCCCCTCATATACTAAAGTCAATTAACTGAAGGTTGATACAGATAACATCAAAACATGCCATTGCCAACTAATCTAGTCTGAGTTCGTAATCAATGAGCTACTAAGGTACCCCCATCACAGACAATTGGCAGGAGTGATTTTATCGATACACCAGAACAATTAACTGGCAAAAACATGACAAATACACAGACAATCACATGGCTTGCTGCACATCTTGGCTGAATCATGTCCCATTTGGTTTATCATCAAAGTACCTGAAGGTCAAGGTCGATGTCTGAAATCCTGCTTACATATATTTTTCTTACCACTGTACATAAACAGGCTTCACTGAATAATGAATGATTTCTTTAACTGCAAACAGTCAGATTTAACTGTTCAATACAAAATGCAGTAAGATTGTAAAAAGCAATCAGGAAGTTTACTTATATGAAACATGTGACAGATCTGTGTTTAGCAGATCACCTTCAATCTGATCACTGCTGCTTTGAATGTTTCATGGTCAGAGTTACCTCCCTTCCTCCATCAAGCTCCTAATGAGATTTACATGTCTCTTTTTTAAATTTGTTTATCTGATATAGATCCTGCCTTTTATGGGTCAGACCAAGTTTTTGTTGTGATTTTGGGATGAAGGAACTCAATGTGGACACAATTTTAAAAAATGAGAAATAGTATGAAAGAAATGTTTTTTCCAAAAACAAATTACATGTATTGTGCAATCAAAGTAATCAGTGACATGACAAGTAAACAATTATTAAAAGTATTTTATATTGATATTAATTGAAACCAAGACACCATATTAAACATTCAAGTTTTTTCCCTAGATTTTATCATTGCTATATGGCTGAAATATTGCCTTAAATGCATTAAATTTTAACTCATTCATTCACCCCTAACATTTTAAGCTAAAAGCCCCTAATTGGCAAACACTGAAAAAAGAATCTTTTTCTTCAATAAGGGGACTTCATAATCATATCTTATTCAATTAAATTCAGAGCCATTAAAACATATTTTCAGACTGCATTCATTTCAATAGTATGTCTAAATATTTAAACGTCTACTTATTTATTAGTCTTGGTATCAGTGAAATACAGGTTATCTCAATACGCTTACAAAGCCATTAAATTAGATAATGAGTCATCATATGAGCAATATATAATACCCTAAACTTGGAAATTACTGTTTCTGATTTTGAATGAAATTTGCTTCAAACTTTGGGTCAAAGATCAGGTCTTGATAAATCCTTGGGTAAATGAGAGGATTCCAAAAAATAAACCACACATAGACAATCACAGGCTGGCTGGCATTTTAGACACCTTCCATGAAACACAAGAGATTTTGTCTCAGAAATGGGAAACCAAGTTTTGTTTTCATGACACATTTTCCTCAAGATGTAATTTCTCCTTCCAGTGTTCACAGTGATCAAACTAAGACAAATTACTTATCACTCCTTATTTTAAAAGCCAAATTTAACTTTTAGAAAATAGTGATTGTGAGTGAGTGAGTGAGTTTAGTTTTACTCCACATTCAGTAATATCATGGCCATATGGCAGCGATCTGCAATTGGGATACAATGACTTTTTAGAAAATGAAATAATTGGTTCTTTAATATCACAAGTCAAGCAATTTGTTCAATTTCCATCAAAGAAAGTACCAATATACTTGTTAACTGATTGCTGAAACAAACGGCCTGAATGACTTGTTATTAAAGATAAGTCAGATATAAAGGTAAGATGACTAAGCTGATTAATGAAGCCAAACAAATAGAGATAATGTGACCACGGGGTAAGCACAGATCCATTTGCTATTTATAATGATACAACATCGTTTACCATGAGAGAATAAAGAAAACCACTTTTAATAACATAGGAACTGGTTAACCACTGTAGGTAATGATAGAAAAGACATATTTTCAATGTTCAAATTATCTTGAACATGTTTAAAAATTAAGAGAGAGTTTGCTCAAATGTCAAAAACACTTACAACAAATTCCTGTTATTACAGTTGGAAACATACAAGAAATCTGTTTGACATTTGGCATATTTCTTTTCAAGTAAATAGCATCCATTTTTAATACAAATTGTTGTCTTAACTGAAAAATACCAGATCCATTTCATTGTTTCAGTTTTAACATCATCATTTAATACAACCTTTTTGATATTTAAAACCGAACTGAGCATTCATTTTATGGCATAAGTCTTTAAATAATAGACCCCAGGCTACACAATCCAGTGATAGATATTATAAGCAACAATCTGCCTCACACCTTGACTAATGCTTAGTCTCTGAATATAAATAATTTTGATAGTAACAAATAAACCCATTTAAATTGAAAAGGAGCCCCAGAGAGATAACAGATTCAGAACCTGAGGAAATCTAGACTTGCTTCATTTAGGGCTTTAGCAGGGTGGGCTAGGCAGTGGGAAAATAATGTGATTCAGGGACTGTGAGACAGACTAGATGAGACCTTCAACATGGCTACTGAGCATGACCTTCTGGGTCATTAAGTGACCTGTTATGACCAGCATAGGTTACAAGGGACCATTTGTCACCAGGGATCCCAATAGGGTCACAATTAAGTCACCACATATAACTAGCAATAGGTCACTGGGAAGGTAACATATGTTGTATTTGGGATTACACTTTCTAAACGGCACTGTGTACTCATCGTCACTGGGAACATTTTCTATGCTAGGGGACCGTGAAGATCTGGGTTAGAGTTGGTCTTCAGCAACTCATGCTTGTCGTAAGAGGCAACTAACGGGATTGTGTGGTCAGGCTCGCTGACTTGGTTGACACGTCATCGTAGATAGATGCTCATGCTGTCGATCACCGGATTATTTGGTCCGAACTTAATCATTTGCAGACTGCTGCCATATAGCTGGAATATTGCTGAGTGCAGCATATAACAATAAACAAAGAAAACAAACAAATTCTACCCCAAGGGCTCCAGGGGTAACACCACTTTGGGTTTGAACAGTACTTCATTTATCCTCAAATTAATCAGATTCCATTCTTAAAAGAAAGCCTCAGGTAAATAAGGTAAATCACATCCTGGACATTTACCAAGTCAATGAAAGTCACAGCTGCAGGGATCAACCATGTTATTCCCTGCATAGGGTATGGGATGGTTGGAACTATGCTTCATACTTAATGAAATTTCACTAAGAAAAACATAAAAATAATTCCAAAATCAGTAACTTTTAATTTTCATAACCTTAACTAAAGGTATTAAGTGATGACACAAGTCAAAACTTTAAACTTTAAACTAATACTATCAACATTTTAGATGTCTGTCTGAACATGTCTCACTTTCTCCAAAATCTTTTAAGAAATTTGTTAACTGTTTCTGTTAATTTCAGCATTGTAAAATTTTTAATATGATTGTGAAGCTGTTGTAATTTAGAAATTATGACACCTACATATCGATGATGTTTGATCAGAACTATTTTCTTGATTTTTCGGATTTAAATCAACAAACACATGGGACGCTAAAAAAGTCGGCCTTAAAAAAAAAAATTGAACGCTATTATGAATTTTTAAATGCAGCGTATTAACGACCTTTAATTTCGACCCTTGCACACCTGACTGACTGACTGAGTTTGGTTTTACGCCGCCTTTAGCAATATTCCAGCAACATCACGGCGGGGGACACCAGAAATGGGCTTCACACATTGTACCCATGTGGGGATTCGAACCCGGGTCTTCGGCGTGACGAGCCAACGCTTTAACCATTAGGCTACCCCACCGCCCCCTTGCACACCTGAGACTCCTACAGAAGCTAATCCTTGCATTGCTAAGGGAAGCAACTCTTACAGTGCATTTCACAAAATTGCCACCCATGTGCCCCTGAATACCTCAAACATGTTGAATATTCAATATGGTGACATACCTCAGCAAAGACAAGTACAGCAGACTGGCCACGTGTGTTGAGGACTTCTGTTACGTGATAGCGTCGTGCCAGAACCACTGGTCCATCATGTCCTGGCCAAAAATGGCCTTTCTCGTTAGTGTGTGCCCCATCGTCTGAAATGGTAGAGAATGTGTCTAATTTAGGGAGGATTGTGATACTCTACTGATATATTTCTATTTCTATCAAATAACATTATACTATATATATCAGTGTTTCCGCTGCTGGCATTTTTTACAGCTGGACATTGTGACTGGCTAGCATTTCATATACCGGTCATTCATAAATTTTACCGGTCAAGTAATCATGCTTATCATTGTCCATGAGACTTTGCACCCTGACAACCTATCAGAAATGTAGAGGGTATCGCAAAGCGTCAATGTTGGTATTTTTTGCCTGGGGTTTTCCAAAAGTGGTATTTTTTTTATGTGACAACACCTCGAAGTCACTGGACCGCCTCCGTGGTGTAGTGGTTAGAACGTCCGCCGAGAGTGCGGAAGGTCGCGGGTTCGATCCCCGACCGCGTCATACCAAAAGACGTTAAAATATGGTACTTGTTGGTCCCTGCCTGGCGCTCGGCATTAATGGGTACAACAAGGACTGGTCGGCTCGGAGTCAGTATAATGTGTCTGAGTGGGGTATTAATGCTTCACTGCGGCATGGTAGCTCAGTGGGCTAGCACTATAAAACCAGCTTCAGTCTAGGCTAGTACAAGCAGCCACACATACACATACACACGCATGCACGTCGTCATATGAGCAAAATATTCTCAAGCACGACGTTAAACCCAATTCCACCACCACCTCGAAGTCATTGAGGAAAATAAAACTGACAGAGGTAATTAGAAAATTTAGTTTAAAATTTGCCGGACACGATGACCGACAGCCTTTGAAATTACCAGACATTCTAACTTTATACTGGTCAAAGTCCGGTATATACCGGATTACGGAAACACTGTATATATATTTTGGCATGCTTTAAAATAAAAATTCAAACACAAGGAGTAAGAAAACTGACTGGGTTTAGTTTTACGCCGCTTTTAGCAATATTCCAGCAATATCACGGCGGGGGACACCAGAAATGGGCTTAACACATTGTGCCCATGTGGGGAATAGAACCCGGGTCTTCGGCATGACAAGCGAACGCTTTAACCACTAGGCTACCCCACCACCCCACTAACAGATGGTAAAATACTTGCTGTTATGAGTTGAGAATACTACTCAGTTTTACCCTTCAAAATAATGGCATCAGTTGTAGGCTGATTCTGACTCAACTGCCTTCTAACCAGCTGAACATAACAGTGACAAATGGTCAATGGCGACTAACACAAAATAAGCACAGACATATTACCTGGAGTTTGTAAAACCTTGCCCCTGATGATTCTGTCATAGAGGTCCTGCAACCCCCCAGTCAGGTAGGCCCCGATGTGGGTTTTCGGGGGAGGCATGACACAGTCATGACTGGATCTGGGATATAGAAAATATCACCAAATTATCACAATGGCAGTTTATTCTAAATGGGAGCAATTGCACTAAATGATTGAGGAATCTGTTATTCAGGCCCTATTTTTGTTCACATTCAGTTTGGTGTTGGATACCAGGAATGGGCTTCACATGTACTCATGAGGCAAATCAAACCCAGGTCTTCAGTGTGACTGAAAACTGGGCAAGCCACATAACTACCCTATTGCACAGATGGGGTTTAATTCAGGGTTTAATGTGTGCATGTGTGACAGCTCATACTAGTCAGCAGGCATTGCCCTGATGCAGAAATCTTGCGTATTTGACACAATCTGTTTTGAAAATACTCAGGCTAAATTTGCTGTTAGGTTGATTTGATGCAGTGCATAAAGTAACATAAAGAGAAATGGTATAAATTGAAACTTTTTATCAATACATTCCTTATCATTTACATTGAGTCATCCATTCTTGCAAAGTCTTTAATTTTATAAATTCTATTTTAAATATGACCCTTTATGATATGCTTAGGACTCCCTTTAAGACAGAGAGGGTGATTGTGAGTTTAGTTTTACCCTGCTCTCAGCAATATTCCAGCCATATGGCAGCGGTCTGTAAATAATCGAGTCTGGGCCCAGACAATCCAGTGATCAACAGTATGAGCATCGATCTGCGCAATTGGAAACCGATGACATGTGTCAACAAAGTCAGCAAGCCTGACCACAGGTTTTACACAGACTTTTAAAAATGGGAGTCATGGTGACTCACAATATGTATTTTTGGGACTCATTTTCAATATTTGGGAGTCATGAAAATGTAATATTTCTTTGTGTTAATCATTCTCAGTATGTAACTGTGTATGTCACAGGTGGAGTCACCAAAGGAAACTACAGCATTGTTCAATGCAAACAGCCAGGATTACTGTCTCCTCTGAGTTCTCTGGAACAATCTGACAGCTCTGTAAAAGTCAAACTATCATCGAACAATATCATTTTTTAGCTTATCAAATCGATTTTGTTGAACTAAACTGTGAGGGCCACCCATAAAACTTGCATCAAGCTTGACTCGTATGATTATATTTTGAGAGTCATTTGCAAAATTGTTGCGTCAAATACGCAGGAATCACACGTCATGTAAAACCCTGTGACCACCCAATCCCGTCAGTCGCCTCTTACGACAAGCATGGGTTACTGAAGATCAATATTCTAACCCGGACCTTCATGGGTAAGACAGAGAGGGAATCAAGATTACTCCAATGTTTGGTAGCCAACCTAATGCTGATTATATGAATGCAATGCAATACAGTGCCAGAGCTACAGATAACTTTTGAGTTATGTTCTCGCTTGTCTTCATCTCATTTGGGTATCCTAATTTTCCTTTGAGTAACCAAAGATACTGTACCCACCTCACTCAAACTCAATAGGGTATGTTGCCATTTTCCATTACTTGTAAAAATATGATAAAGTTTAAATGTTGGTTGATGTGTTTGTTATTTATATTTGATCTGTGATATGAGAAACGATAAGAAAGACTGCAAATTGCCAAGTTCATGTGCTGAAATAGAACCTCTCAGTATACCTCAGTTATCTTACCTATAAGCTATTATTCAAGCTAAGATTTGACAATTTTGTATGCACGCATGTAAGATCAAATTTATTGAGTATTTACAAAGATTCTAGCGTACTTGTACACAACAGACTCAATAGGAATTGAGTTTTCACATAAATATTTGTGTAATTTATGCAGATACGCAGCTTATCGTACCTCTGCAATGCTGCAGTTTAACATGGCAAACTTTAACACTAAAAAACTGACTTCAACCCAACCAGTCCTTGTTCACTCCAATGAACTCACCATAAGTGAACGCTAAATCTTGTAATTGCTTGTGTATGATTCTTGTTTTACCTTGAAGGATGTATGCAAAATTTTATTCATAATGTTACTTCCTGTTTACACTGACACTGACAGCCATACAAGCTGTATTGCTGTGTCAGTAACTTCCTCAATATGAGAGGTGACATGAGTGTATGCTATACAGCAACATCATTTCTTAGCTTGCAAATTGATTCAAATAATATGATCATTAGGTGAGAAAGGTTTGTTATAAAAGACCAATGAATGTGAGGGGACAGTTTTTTGAAGTTGTTAATGACCCTGTGGTGATTACAAACGTCAGTTTTCATTGAACAACTTGTTGGTTTTGGAAAGTGATAACAAAGTGTCAAATAGATACAGACGTAAATTCATAGTTTGCTGTAGACTGTCAGTGTAGACACTTATCAAGGTTGAGAGTCTGAACATTCAGTCAAACTCTGACTTGTCACAACGCATTCAAGTTCAATGCAAATAGTTCAAGATTAGTATTATGAGAAACATTGCTTCTGCATTTAGTCATACTAGGGAATTCCCAGGTGGTGTTTGTTAATTATAAAGTAATCCATCAGTGTTTCATACATTTCAAGAAGTACATTAACAGTATTACAGATAACTTTTTGGGTCATTGAGTTATGTACCCGCTTGTCTTCATCTCAATTGGGTATCCTGATTTTCCTTTGAGTAACCAAACAAATTGTACTCACCTCACTCAAAATCTATTGGGTATTTTGCCATTTTCCATTAATTGTAAAAATATAATAAAGTTTAAATGTTAGTGTTTGTTGTTTATATTTGATCTGTAATATAAGAAACGATATGAAAGACTGCTAGTTGAGTGTTCATGTGCCGAAATAGAATCTCTCAATGTACCTCAGTTGCTTTATCTATCCACCGGTACGCAAGCTGAGATTTGACATTTTTGTGTGTATGCATGTACAATCAAATTTATTGAGTATTCACAAAAATACAAGCGTACTTGTACGCAACAGACGTAATAGGAATTGAGTTTTCACATAAATATTTGCATAATTTACGCAGATACGCAGCTTATCTGTACCTCTGGTATTATGAGTAATGCATGAACATTACATTGTTTCTTTCATATGCTTATAAACCCAAGTTTCATGGCCATGTGACCGACCCCTCGTTAAATAGGAAAACCGTACACAGCTTGTAAATGCCACTTATAAAAAAATTGATTCTATATTTCTGTCCTGTTCCAGATTAGTTCTATTTAATTTACTTGTCGCTTGGGTTAATATTACCCTACGATGTTGATGTATCAGGGTGTTATATTGAGTATACATGAAATATTACATGATAATTATCCCCGTAGGAGACTACCATGCCATTCATACGTAGATGGGTAATGGCAGAGAAAACCATGGTCTTTTCACCTGCAACTTCTTGAAATGACGACAAATTTGGATCGTCATTTACTGGACATTCCATGCTGATAAGCTTAACCTGTGCACCATAGGCTTGGAAATCAGACGTTCTAGTCTCGTACAATATATATTAACCCTGATCATTTTTGTTTCAGGATGTAGTTAAAATCTTTTGTTGACATTTTAGGATATAAAATCACGCGAATGGATGTAAACAATGCACCCATATAGAGCTTGAGTTGAGAACGCTAAATCATTGGCAAATTTATGTACCCAGATCTTAACAATGAGAATGTCACAGAATAGTTACACACGGATCAGGCTTGCAAAACATCACACAACTCTGCCTAGCGTCGCATCTACAAGTGAGTCTGTGAAACGCTAACCAAAGCGCCCGCCATTACTGCTGTCATCTCGCACTTTCTCGTATGCAAATTTGCACGTTTCCCTCAGGGGTCAGGTGGTGAAAAGGGCGTGTTCTGAGGACGATTGTAAACAAAACCGCATGCTCTCTGATGATTCCCCAGAATGATAGTGTTCCGGCAAGAGGAAGCACGAGGACACCATTGACAGTGCGCTCACAGTCCCATAAAGGAGACAGGTTAATGCAACAACTGCCTACAACGAATATTGTAGGACACTGCACAGTGGGGAATTCCAAGAGAGGGGCTTTCCCGAGCAAGGCAGAGTAGCAGCCGAGTCGCCGAGAAGCTTGTCAGGGCACGCAAAAATAGGATGCTGTGATTGGTAGCCTCGCTTTGAGGTGATGATGATGACATCATGCATCAAAACAGATTCCAATACTTATATTCACACATGTACAGCAGGCGCGAAAACGTGTAGACTTCAGCTTCGAAGCAATAGGTGAGTAGAATGATTGACTTGTCTCTGTTTTCTAGTCTTAGCTAATCGACATTGGGTTTAATGAGGAAATACTTCTATACGTCTCTCAGCAGTAAACAGTGGCTTGGGGTCTTGTGGGGAAAACGCAAGCAACGTGCCTGTCACGTTGGTTTGTTTATATTTGGTTTAGAACAGGTTCCTGGAGATAGTCTTGTGCGTCCGTGGGCGTCATTCATAACGTGAACGCTTTCGACACAGTGCTTCCTGTTATAGTAGACATCGAGTAGCAGAAATTCACCCTCTAGAGTCAAGTCGAGTGTAGACGAATGCTTCTCATTCATCGTACACTGTTCGAGAAATGAAAAGGTCACTGCGCAACGTTACACAACGGTTGGTCACCACTAAGCATATGCTATGACTGATGTGTCTCCTAACTGGTCTTTGTTTAACGAAATACTGGAAGTAAGCCAGCTGTTTATCAAGGATGGGTTTTCCTGCTTCTGGTGATATCGCACAGGTGGCCTGTCATAGGAAATATCATGAGAGTAAGACGCTAAATTAGTACATAGGTGGCCGACTTAAAAGACAGGGCTTTAGATCAATAGGACGAATCTGGAGTTAGATGGTGATAGGTCAACACGTCGAGTTACCGCCGCGCGAACTTTATGAAAAAAATATAACTTCGACAATAGTATGTGTCACCCATGGATCATCAGAGATAACCGAATCATGACTTTTGTTGACAATACTGTCACGGGTGTCGTCATTTTGTAAACATTTACCTTATCCATTACGTTTGGTGGCACAGCTGCTCAACTATCGTTTGTGGTTCTTTTTGTAGAGATATAATTATACAAGACACACAGCGTGACGATTTCAAATGGAATATGGATTTCAATAACCAAGACCCGATGGATGATGAGCCGACGTTTCCTGTGCCCGAGGTTAATGGGAGGAAGAGACCCCACAGTGGAAGTTTTGGGCCGTTCAGTACCAGTACCCCTCGATCTCAGAAAAGGGATAGCGGATATCTCACTGACACTTCACCAGCGTCTTATTCTGGGCACCAGCAGTTTACGTTTGAAGTCGCCACGAGAGGACGGTTACAACCGGGGAGTTTACGTGGCGCGGTTGGGGGATCGGAGTCGGACACCGCAGAGGGGTGTTCCCCATTTGAACCAATTCTTTTGGAGAACGAGGACGAAGACAATGACTCAGCTTTTCGCGATAGCCCGTTTTCACCTGGCCCAGAGGAATCGGAATTAACCGAAGAAGACAATTCATCTGTGCAAATATATAGACCTCGTTCCGATGCTTTCAGACATGTAGACCCAGCTCCACCCGTCCAAGGGAGGGTGGTGCCGTTTTCAATGCCTATTCCTATGAGAATGCTTGGGTCTCACGGAAGGACGGTCGGAACCCAGACTCCCCATGAACATTGTCGTCTGCTCATTCAGTATCTGGAAACACCCCTGCCATTGAGTGCCCGAGGTAAGATATACTTGTCCTGATACTTTTTCATAGACAGAAATATTGTAACCAAGATCCATCCCGTTTTAATGTTTTAGATACGAGTTATATATTTAGAACCTGATTCATCTTAGAGTATTTAATGTTAGTATAGTTTTTAATTATTCACAACAGTTCTTATTCCTGCTATTTGAGATTGGGAATTGTCACACGTAATCCTAAGGTGTATCCGGTTTCCGATATGTTTATAATTACCTATGTGGACACTATGGTAAGAATAACGATATTTATGTGCGATACTAACAGATAGCACATCATATTATTTGATGGCTAGAGAGAATATGTACTTTGAGCTTTGTCTACCTTGACCCAGTGGGCTAGATATCTCTGCTCTATATACATCAGCCGCGACAGGCGGTTGCCATCGCCTCAAGTGCTACTTCCAGATTTGTGAAGGTTTTCCTTAAGCGAATAGATTGCGATGCACGGCTAAAAAACGCAAACCCCCGAACATAAGAGCTGTCTGGTTTATTATCTAATGTGCTAAAATTGTGTCACGCGATCAATATTTGTATAGAGAATTCCGTCAGCAAGTAGAAGCCTTAGCAACAGCCATACTGACACCCTTAACCCGCATTGGGAGACATTTTCTGTACTTGATTAGGTTCGGTCGTCGCTGTAGGGGTCAGTTTGTGGGAAGTGTTTTTCTTTCAGTGTGAAAGTTATGGGAAGCCAGACGTATTGCGTAATTTCATTGTTCTGCAAGTATGCGTTAGAGGGAAAAAAAAGTTGTTGCTTAAGGGAGATAACTCGATTCGCTCTATTGCTTAATCGCGCTTCCTCTTGGTGTGAACGCGAACTCGATAGTATTGCACAGAAATGTTAAGAAAAATAATATTACAACTTGTATGAGTAAAATACAGAATTATGATTGATGACAATTCAACATGCGAAAAAAAAATATATTAAAAAATACGAACATGACAATGAAAAGTTTATTACCATTAATCATGCCCTATTTATATCCAGTCGCCTTCTTGAATGTTCGAACAGTGGGCCAGAATGATCTAGCTTATATTTTGACATGTAAACTGGCGTCACTTTGATATGAATATATCTAATGGAGCAATATGAATTATGAAAAACTAAGAACGTCGTCTATTTAGACAATAAACGTAAATATAAAACTTTTCTAGACATGAAACCTTCCGGTCATTCGCTGTGTGCGGAAGTATCTGCAGTTAACGGCTGCCTAGAGAACTTGTTTTTATCGTGTGTTGAACAACTAGGATTACATATGCAAGGAGAAAGCTGAGTTCCGCGCGACGCGGTTCACAGTGAAGTATCATCACGAAACGCGTAATGTCCACGTTCGGAGATAATGGCTTCGCTAAATCGGCCATTACCCAATGAAAGGAAACTACTTGAAGAGTAATCGACTTTATATCGTTTATGTTATTTCGGTTTCGGCTATTCTTTGCTTGATACTCTTATATTAAATACATCTGTAAAATCGTAATACAAGTTAGATGTATACGGCCAGTACATACTGTGTATTTAAAATGTTTACACAAGGTAGCGATGAATTTCATTGCTTCTTTTGAGAGGATATAAAACGTATAACATATGTTACTTTATACTAAGAACAGATTGGAACGATCAAGATTACGTGTAGTTTGATTGCTGTTTTGAGAAAAGACGATACAAAGAAATTTGTATTTCAATCGTTTACACAAAGACAAGATTGGAATATGCTAACTAAGTTCGACTGCAGTTTCTTTTCAGGAAAGGCGATACAATGTACTTTATAATGCAACCAGTGTTAATTATGTGTACTTGTCGTGACATTTAGCGATAATTACAATTATATTTTGCTTATTGTTGAATGTTAGTGAACGTGTTTACGTCCTGCTGTGGGTTAGTCTTTTTTTCTGTGAAACAATGAGTTGTTAAACGTAGGTCCCCTGGCTCGGATTATGTTCAATGAGTTATGAGTGAGTGAGTGAGTTTAGTAATACATCGCTTTTAGCAATATTCCAGCAATATCACAGCAGGGGATACCACAAATGGGCTTCACACATTGTACCCATGTAGAGAATCGAACCCGGGTCTTCAGCGTGACGAGCTAACGCTTTTACCGCTAGGCTACCCCACCGCCCCAGTGAAGGTTATGAAACAACCCGAAATATGCAGAGAAAAATAGTGGTTGATCATTTTCAAACCGTTTAAAAGGGTTTTATCTTTAAACTTCAATGAATGCGTTATTATGATGTATTTTCAAGTTAACTGTCTATATGATAATGACAAAACGGAATTGTCAAACATTGGATTAATGCGCTCAACTTGAACCTGTGATTACTGCTGTTTGGGTTATAGGTTTAAAACGATCATTAATGCAAATAATAACATTCAGTGGTTAATTATGACTTAATATACGTGTTATTATTGTAGGACACGTGACTGTTATTAGTTTCGATTGTTAGATACTCTGGACGTCACGTGTCTCATTGGCCCAGTGCCAGTCTGTTGTTGTCTACGCAATGAAGTGTTTTGACACAATTAAGTGGTGTTATGTAGGGACCGTTGTCGCCTTGAAATCTGTGATACCGTATCGTAGCTTGAGCAAATATTGACAAGCCACACTGATAAGAAGTAAGATATATTTATAGACCACGCGCTTTATCGCAATTCGATCCACGGTGGGGCGTGCATTTGATAAACACTAGGATTGTTTTGTTGGCAACACAGATTTGAGTCGACTACACAACTCAGCGTCAACGTGTTCTTTTCAATATTTTAATACCCGCTTACATTGTGCGTTGATTATTCGGTTTATACTAATAGTTTTGGGGGAAAAAAGCCAGGATAACTGGGGAAATAATCTGTTAGTAGCGGCGGAAAACAACCGCACTTACAAAACTTGTCAATTCAATTCAATTGTCACTGCCAAATTAGGCCACGCCCGTGTTTTGGACGGCGGTGACCCAACAGCCCGCATTCGTTGGGTCACGGTCCATATAGGCTCGCCTCGTCAGCGCTAAAAATAGCTTCCGTCTGCAAGCGCGCGCCATACGCGAGTTGTGCAGGCGCGATTTGCCTGCTGCCTGTCACGACAGTTCGCCTGACCTTGAAATGTCTTGAAACTGATGTTTATTTCGACATTGTGTTCATTTGACATTTCATGCATGACATTTGTTTTGACGGTGCAGTGATAACAGGTCCACGCTGAAAGACGATGCACAATGATTTGGAGTCGTTACGTGCTGTTTTGTTGTAACAGAGACCACATAATATATCTATTACATGGTCTCTGGTTGTAAAGCTAGAGGTTTACAATTATGAACATTTTGTAGGTTGTCCAGATGATTCTGCCGTCATTCATCACCAGCTTCCAGTGTTTATTCTAAACATATAAAGTTATATCTACTTCTTTCCAGAATATTTTCTTCTAAATTTCATGTATTCCGCTTTGCGGGGGGATACGCGCTTGCTCTACCTGCAGTGGCCTATATGTTTACATTGTTATGTTGCAATGTTAATCGTTTTACAAGTATACAATGTGAACGCTGAATGCTTTCCGTCTCAGCTCAATGGCAAACAGAATTGACTTTACCCCAAACGTAATCAAGCTTGTTCAGCGAGCGAAAATAACTGTTTGGAAAAGAAATTCTGCCAGAAAGCTATATTGCCGTCGTGTGTGGAGCTCTGGAACAGCTGGTGCTCTGCAAGGAGCTCTCGTGGCGTGGCGTGAGAACGTAGTAGCCTAGAACTGTACAGTTGTAAACACACTGACGAGCTTGTGCATATACTAAGAATAGCGCGCAATGGTTGCTCAAATGCAATGAATTTGATTCAGGGGCTGGTGAATACATGCTTCTGTAATGAATAGCGTGCGAGGCGAAACATTCTCTTCGTTTAACTGAAATGTTTACATTTCAAAACAGTTATTATTACATGTCGGGGGAACCTGAACTAACCAGATGCAGGAAATAGTGGACGATTTTCTTCGAATAATATACCCAGAAGCTTAACAAATGAACTTCAGTTGATTATTGTGACTAACTACTACGAGCAGACAGGCAGGTATTCTTAGACAAATAGGGCGGTGGGGTAGCTTAGCTAGTGGTTAAAGTGTTCGCTCGTCACGCCGAAGACCCGGGTTCTATTCCCCACATGGGTACAACGTGTGAAGCCCTTTTCTAGTGTCCCCCACCATGATATTGTAGAAATGCTTTTTGAATAAAATATCCTTTTTTTTCACCCGTTGACCATGTGTCTTCCTGTTTCTGCGTATTCTTGTTTCATTGTCATGTCACATGTCATCTGTAGCTGTATTCATAATGACTTCAAGTTGAATTTCAAATAATATAAAACTGTACAATTATTATATATCGTTGTTGAGTTCATTTGCCAATTGCGTGTATGATTAAAATATCTCATAAAAAATACCATTTTGGCTTGATGTTATGACCCATCTGCACGTGCATGATTATAATTTATTCATTTAACAAGGTTTGATGATATCGTATTCTTACACGAGCTCCGCTTGTTAAGGCAGAGTTGTGAATTATCAGTCTAACACGATGTTCATAGTAAATCACTTGAGGTCCAATGAGCTCTTATTTGCGCTTCCATTATAGATGCGATAAATCCATCTTTCAGTGATAACTTTCTTTTTATGAGCTAATTTAGCGTCGAGTGTTCATTGATTTGTGATATTAAACAATTTGTCAATTCATTTAAGTAAATAATTACAATGCGAGGACTTTTTAAAGGTCAACGGCTATTTCACATGTTAAACTTCGATTTCATGGGTTTTGATCGGCTGTATAACATTCATATTTCATCTATCAGTCGCGTGGCACGCATTCTGTTACATAGCATTAAACCTAATATCAAACTCATTACGCCAACAGAGAACCCTCATTAGCCTAGACGCCCTTTTTTTGCAACTATTGCATTACACCGGCAGGGTGAGTGAGTGAGTGAGTTTAGTTTTACGCCGCCTTTTAGCAATATTACAGCAATATCGCGGTTGGAGACACCAAAAATGGGCTTCACACGTTGTACGCATGTAGGAAATCGAACCCGGGTCTTCGGCGTGACGAGCGAACGCTTTAGCCACTAGGCTACCCCACCGCCAAATTAAACAGGAAGGATGTTTCTCTGTATCACTTCATCGAAACTTCGTTTATCGGTACAATATTTCTTTGACCTACGGATAAACGGTGCGGTTACAGTGTGCCATGAAGATATACCAATGCGCAAGGTATCATATATTCTGATTAACGATAGTTTAACAAATGTATGTCTACTTGGAAATCGAAACCGGAATCGAACCCATAAGAGGTAAAAACTGGGCAACCTGATCACCTCTCAATGGCACCGGGTATCCCGAAAGAGCAGCGCACCGACTGACGCAAACCTGTTCAGCGAGATGTTAGTTTTTAATGTTTACGTAATGACTCGTGTAGTAACGTACCAGAGACACAAATAACTATTTATTGCTCGGGCAAGCATACCATTAAATCACCCATTCACATGTATGTATAGCGGTGCAACATATTGTTGTTCGATGTTTATGTATGTTATGTATAGATCTAAATCACGCGTGGTTCACTGACCCCAGAGCCATATTTAGAGTATATTACAACACGTCAGAGTATATTTGAGTGTTTGTTATGAACAGCCCGACAACTTTAATTGCGCATTGCCAAAATGGTAAGGGCTAACTGAGGCGATTCTTACGAAAATCTTGTTAACTTGACTTAACTTGATTGAGAACACTCGAATGCATTTCAAGTTATCCGTAGTGACACATTTGCAATGTTATATCATGAATTCAACCACTGACACTGGTTTATATATAGTGGTATCAGTTCACATGTACGCAATTTATGGGCGTGACGTAAAATTGCCTTGACTGTGACTAAGTGTTTACAATAGTCCCATATCGGGCGATTAGAGGTGACATCAGCGTCTATACAAGTCTTATTTTGACGTTTGAAGTTAGTGATTTAGTTCGTCTTTAAGACTTTGATCGAGACAGGTCTTATAAGCATTTTCGCTTCTTCTACTGAATGTTCATAGAGTCTAATCATGATCAGTGCAGGTGTGTTTTGTGAACAACAGTTATTTCCCTTTGTTTATAACATTATCGACTTGACTTATACATTTTTGTAATTTATTTTACGCGTGGCGTCCTTTTGTCATTTCTTGATGCCTTAGCCTTCCTGATTCATTAAAACGCATCGCTGGCACAAAGAGTATTTCTTTATATTGATATGAAGACCGTTTAGAAAGTCGTGCATCTTCTGAATTAAGGTGACTGATGAGAGTTATTTCCCCTTGCAGGTCCAGTTCACAGGCGACAGCGACACTATTCAGAGGGGGAGGACCCTCAGGAGGCTGAATCTGACAATGCCCCACTGCCAGACATTGTCCCCATCCCCCGGGATCGCTCAGTGTCCCTCCCTGACGTCCAAGCGCTCAGACAGCAACGTGAAATTGAAATGGGGAGAGAACTCCGAAGGATCAGTGACGAGTTTAACACAACCCACGGATCAAGGAGGCGACTGGTAAGCATACTTTGACTTCTAGTTAATTGTCACTGTTTGCGTGTGTGAATGCTACGGTGGAGGCATCGGGAACGTACCCTAACATACACTACTCAAAAACAGATGCGGGTATTTCATATTACCACCCGTGAAGATCGGGTTAGAACTGGTCTTCAGTAACCCATGCTTGGCGACTAACGGGATCGGGTGGTCAGGCTCGCGGACTTGGTTGACACATGTCATCGGTTTCCAATTGCGTAGATCGATGATCGTGATGTTGATCACCGGGTTGTTTGGTCTCGACTCGATTATTTACAGACCGCTGCCATATAGCTGGAATATTGCTGAGTGCAGGGTTAAACGAACAAACAAATTACATAACTACCACAGGTAACCTGTTGGGGGAAGGTCGGAGGTACTGCACGGATGCAGATTTACAGCAAATAAATTGTCTCTGAAACCAAAAACGCACATTGTTGTGTGACGGTTTTTAATTTGTTTTGAACAATAAATTGAGAGAAAAGAAAGTGAAACGGTATCTCGTCTTGCAGGTGAAAAACGTCTAGTCTCATCCCCCCTCTCACTGATTTATGACCCGTGAACATCCCGGTTAGAATTGATCTTCAGTAACCCATGCTTGTCGTAAGAGGCCACTAACGGGATCGGGTGGTCAGGCTCGCTGACTTGGTTGACACATGTCATCGGTTCCCAATTGCGTAGGTCGATGCTCATGCTGTTGATCACTGGATTGTCTGGTCCAGACTTGATTATTTACAGACCGCTGGAATATTGCGGCGAAAACCTAAACTTACTCGCTGACAGATTTATGCATACATCTAAAACCAGTTTATATGTCCGAACACACTTCATATACCGTTATGCTGCATGTACTTGCAATTAGATGGTGTAAGCAAGGACATTAATGACATCATTCTTCATCATCCTCCACGTGGAACTTTGGACTCGGTGTACGGATGTTTATCAACCGGTAATAATTCGGAAGTGTCGACTTCTCTGTGTACACGTGGCCACTTATAGACCTGATATCACCCATGCGTCGAGAACCTCCTTCCTCCAGTTTCCTTAAGCCCATACATGTCTATTTATGTCACTGCGGAAATAATTAGAACAACACCCTGTACGTGATTCAGCCACAGTTACTTGCTTGTTTATATCTTTTCAAATTAAGAACGCACGTTTCGTTTTAAGGCGATCATAAATGCAAAGGCGTGAATGTGTCAGCAGAGAGGCGTTATATCGGGCTACACGAAGTCGCCTTGTAGCCCGTCTGGTGAATACGTTAGTCTAACGCTTTGAGCTTGTGTGAGTGTGTTGGGTTTTACGCCGGTTTTGAGCAATATCCCAGCATGTGTATATCACGACCGCGCCCGGGCCTTGGGCGCGAGGAGCGAACGCTTTAACCACTGGGCTACCCCACAGTGCTTGTGTGAACTTGTCATATGGAATGTACACATGGTATTTCCTCGTTAGTCCGTCCTGGAGCGTTCAAATTGAAATTTTCTAAATTGACACAATATCAATTACAAATAATGGGCAAATAGCAACGTTACTTGGTGATATAAGCGTATCAGTACGTCAGTAATTGTTTGGTATAACCGGATTGTCTGAGGACGGATTATCGAGGTTTGACTCTACGCAAACAGCGACGCGGGTCGCAGACAATTACCACTTTGGTTATTAAGTTGACATGTCTGGCCAATCTGAGATTCAATCTATGATCACCGAATCCTGACAGACCAAGCGGCGCAACTTAGCGCATTGAATTGCGAAGCCACTTAGTCACGAGTGTTTGTCTCCCAGAAGTTTTATCAAACCTCTCCAGTCCATTATAGTGGCGCATTGTGACTCAAAGTCGAAGTTAATTACTTACTGCGCTGAAACATTGATGATCGATAGCAATAACAGAATCTAGAAAGAGAAATCAAATGGTACAATACGACCCCCTTTAGTACTTTTGCGCTTTTAAATTCACACAGTGTTGAAGTAAGTTTAGAATAATAATAAATATTTAAGTATCTCTATTATGTCAGATGGTGCCGTTGACGTTTATTGTATTCACGTGTCCGTCATCCGTTAAGATGGGAGGATATTTTCATTGTACACTGTATGTCAGATGCCTGTTAACGATATCTGTTCCTAAGAACTATTTACGTAAAGGAAGGTATTGTTTGTGATCTTTCTTTGTGTATAGTAATTGAGGCGATGCAGTATTGTATACACAATATATTTATGTTGCTCTATACACGGGTTAAAAATAGTGATACAAATCGTCAATGTTTTAGGAGACATCTGCCAAGCTTGAGTCAATTTCACTGTGAATCCCTTTACTCTTAAACCGCCACAAACGCATAACAAATTAGATAGGAAATTGCTGATCCCCTCGTAGGAATCTTGAACAGGTTTGCACCGAGTAACTTTTTCCTACTCAGGAGCCAGTCACGGGGGTCACTTGGTGCATTCGTGTCCTATTTGCAAATTAATTTAGCCATGTTTCTGCGTCGTGATAAATCGTTTTAATAGTCGTGCGCATAGCCTCTACGTGCGTGATATTTACTAATCTGTTTTTGAATTTGTGGGTAGTTAAATGATTTATTTGAAATGTAAGCGTGTTGTTTCTTAATAGCGTTATGTTGGTATGATATGATGATAGCTGTGTCTGCCGTTATTTAGCTCTGTTTAAGTGCCGCGAGTTTTGCATGTTAGCGGACGCACACATATGAAACTGTCAGGAATGTCATGTCTGTACATTAACAATGGGGTGGTGGGGTAGCCTAGTGGTTAAAGCGTTCGCGCGTCACACTGAAGACCCGGGTTCGATTCCCCACATGGGTGCAGTGTGTGAAGCCCATTTCTGGTGTCCCCCGCCGTGACATTGCTTGAATAGTGCTAAAACGGCGTTAAACAAACCTCACTCACTTTAACGAAACTGTCCATGTTAAGCATGCACAGATAGGAAGGCTTATGTAGAAGTGTTTGGATATGAATCAAAGTGCTCGCAATTTAATCGTCGTGAAAAACACACCGAGTTGATTCAAAATGTTTTTCAAGGGCCGATGAGGTAGCCTAGTGGTTAAAGCGTTCGCTCGTCGCACTAAAGAACCGGGTTCGATTCCTAAGATGGGTATTATGTGTGAAGCTCATTGCTGGTTTCTTCCGCAATGATATTGCTAAAAGCACCGTAAAACCCTCTCACTGATAATGTTTAGCCGTTGTTTGGTATGGTGACCAATAAGAAGTCTACTTTGTATTCAGTGCGGGGATGTCATTTCACGTGAAAAGCACTTCCGTGTCAATATCGTAAAATCGACCGTAGTTACGACTGTGGTAGAGTTCAATGAATCAACACAGAACCCTATTGTCGTAATGATGAGACAGAGTTGTGATATGAAGTGAATCGGTTAACTGACCCATTTGTATCCCCGGCTTCCATTCCCTATACATGCATTGAACTTTTTGTAAGATCAATTTATTGTGTCTTCCAACGGCACATAGCTAGGGTATGCTGCAAAACGGCGTAAAACTGTATTCACTCAAGCAAGTGTAGTTACGGTACCCCAACGGAGAACTACCACCAATATACCCTCAGAGATTCTGAGATTCAAGTGTAAACATTAAACTAAACTTCAACTTTCCCTTTTTGCAGTATCCGGTGGCCGAGAATTTCGAAGGCGAGGCTGCCTCTTTCCCTGGAGCAAGGCCGGCGTACATGAGCGTATGGACGAGTTTACGGAGCCTCTTTTTCGGATCTATGGAAACGAGGACAGACACGGAAGATCCGTCTGGACCCAGTTGAGGTCGGAGCAATCTTGTTTGAAACCGGGATTGTCCGGAACTTTGTGAAAGGGGTGCTATGCAATGACTATTGAAATGGACTATTTTTGTATGGAACTTTTTTGACGATTTACAATGGAGTACCTTTCGCGGTTTCCCGAGGCGCTGTCACAGATCTCATACACCGGAAGTGTGCCCTTACGTCATCACCGGAAATGGGTACCATGTGGCTCCGCCATTGATGTACATAGTGCCGAAAGTGTTCGATTCATCACCATCGTTACCATTTTGTTGTTGAATACGTTTGGACTTTGAAAAAGACATGATTTGGCAGTTGACGCACGCACAGGACTCGGCATGTTTAAAAGTTTTGTATTTTTGGACACATGTTCAAGATTTTGGTTTCATTTTAAGACATATCTTTCTCATCCCATTAACCGTTGTGGGCATTAAAATAAGAGACGAAGCATTATATTCATGTAGATTTGTAATTCGGACGTTTCCAAATCGGTCAACTCATCCGTATTTTCATGTAAACATTTGGAATCTGATCATACGAAATCATATCATCAGCGAATGAGTGCTAGCTAGAAAAACTATATTTTAAAATTCTAGTCAAAAGGTATGGCTTCCAGTGGTATTATTGAGATTGTCGGCATAATATTGTTTATGTTGAGAGGACCAGCTATTTCTTTCATAACACATCGTCATTAAGGTTTTCCTTGTAGAACAGGGGAACAGTTTGGACAGGTTTGTCTGTGTGGGATAACCTTAGAACGAGTTTCATGCTGATACCAATTTACCCAGCGACGGTGCAATGAATCTTGGCTCACGAGTTTGATTTTGTCATACAAATGCTTATCAATCCATATTTGGTTATCTGTTATGTTTTATTCATCAACATCAATGAGTGCTCATCTAGTCTCAAACCAAGCCTTACATTAAGACTTCTTTCACATGGAACCAGACTGGAAACTTGTCAAGAGGATAATTTTTTGCATTTGATCTTTGTGCAGACAGTAGCCTTATCTATTTCATCAAATGCAACGTCCGCTACGGCTCAACAAAACTAGTTTAAGCATACAAATTTATATATTTAAGTGTCATGTTCTTAGATACATGCAGAGGGGTTTCAGTAGAGGGAGCCCAGTCCCTGCAATTCCCTTGTAGGTTTGTCAGTACAATGCGCATGCTCACGGGTTTCTCCAAAATGGTGAATGGTGCGTCACGAAGGGCTTTCTTACGCCGTGATATCACCAGAATACATTTGTTTCTAATCGGCGTTACTGTCTCACCTTTTCCCCGTCTTTGAGCCTAACGATTTAAAAAAAAAAAATTAACCCAGGTTCAAGTCGATTTAGTTGAAAATGGCCAAAGATCTAAAGCATATTTTTAAGGAGTAGGTCAGTCAACAAAAGGCAGAAAATTAATACATGAAAATTAACTTTTTCGGCATACTTTAGTAAAGGAACAATAAATCTTCCATTAAAAATCACACAATGGTGACCTTCCAGGGGGCCAAATTATGTTCACACTTCAAAAGAAAATATATCTGATTGATGTGTAAAAATAACCCATTTAGATATCGCTCACGATGAGAGACATATATTACTTTGCATAGCTTAAATGCCATTGTGATTCAAGCTCTGTTCTTTGGTTTTGACCCCAATGCCTGTGAGATGTGACACACGAATGCTGCAATACCAGGAAAGAGAGCTAGCTCGGAATGTTTATGTATATGACCATAGACTAGGATGAATTGCTCAATAGCGTCTTTTTAGCATATACATACTCCAAACATTCCATGAATATATACAGAATTTTAGGTTTGTGCTAGATCCATTTTTTTTCAACAAGATTTACAAATTGTATAGTTATATTCCAGCGTTTCAGGTCACTATTTTGCGTTTTAACGTTTTGTTCCATCAACTACAAGAACTGTTCCATCAAATACAAGAATCAATTTTTGCTTAAGTTAATTTCTACACATGTATTTTTGAAGCCCTATTGCTTTTTATCACAGTAATCCCGAGGAAAGATCAAAGCCGTAGTTTGGGTGGTTACAGTGACACCTCGTTTATATGGACAACGGATTAACGACGTGTCATTGTATTTGCTACGAAATGTGTGTGCCAAATGTTAGTAGATGCCAATCACCATAGCAACAATGATGAACGTACCATAATACTTATGCTTGTTTCGTGCAACCAAATCCCCCATGAAAAAGGTTAATATCCCCTCAGCCGAGAACACGAATCGAGATTGTGGAAAGGACTTTTTTCACCTGGAAGAGTTTCTGTCGCACCTGTGATGGCCATGAGCCGTTCACAGTTTGTTGTGAGATTTTTTGAAGTGCCTTACTTCCGAGACACTATGGGGATTTGGTTTGGAACATCACCTTTCAATAATGGACACTGATTAAACCGAATAAATTGTCCGGTTTGGTTAATGTATTGAGAATTTCTGTTTTGGTAAAACGGGTTTGAAAGATCATTGAAAAGTGGTTAAATGTTCCAAAATATGCATGTTAATGTTTGTATCGAATTCTGTTTATGACATTTGATACCTTGCTGATTTATTGAGAAACCCAGTTGCATTCAAAACTCACTTTAAATATTCGTGCAAGTGTTTTGACATGAGAAGAGCAAGGTCGTTTTGACTATTTCCGGTTTTGCAGCAACCATTACCTGTAATCACGTGACTCCCATCATTGTTGCATACCACCAACAAATAACGTTTCTGAAGCTCCCTACAGTGTCCACCGGCCACAGTTTGTACAGAATGCTGTAGAGTTGGCCATGTACAGAGTTGTTTCCTTCGTGTATGGTTCGTTTCACTTGCGATTCTAAAGCAAGTTTAAGTTTTCGAATGATCTCATTGATATTTAAGGATACTGCGATGCAGTACGTGTGTGTAGAAGTGCGTATACTGTACATTTTAAATTGTTATGCCGCTTTCACTTTCAACACTTTTATCTTTCTTTTTCGTTTGCAATAATCAGTTGTGCTTGTTAGACTTATTACCCGTGTTTTGGATTGTTTTGTTACACTTACTTATTAAGAATAAGTTAAATATTTTACAGCATCTGGATATTTTAAATTTGAAGTTCTGTTGATCAGAATGAAAAAATATTCAACTATAGAATATAACATGGAAATAATATAACTTTTGCAGTAGTGACAGCTTGTTGAGCAGAGGTCAGGAGTGCTAATGCATCCATATTGAAAACGTAGTTTTTCGTTCAACAACTATCTTCATTTTTTAAATATGGAAACGTTTGTTTGTGTTGATCCCATTTTGCTCCTTTTCATGGCGTGGTTAAACAAGTTCTTTATTGACATCTAGCGGTATAGTGACAGAATGGTGTTTCACAGCAATACACGATGACAATCGCCAAGTATGTCAAATTTGTAAATCAGGAATTTTACACAGATCTCAATATTGGATCCCACCTTGGCCATAATTGCCTGGGTAGTAGTATTCCCTTTACGACACTATACTGATATGGGACTGAAATGAAAGGTAGCTTTGTTTATCGGAGTTTCGGAAAAGAAAACGTCAAGTTCTTGCGTACTGTTTTCGCATTCTTTTGAATGTCATAAGGGGAATATTGCTGTCTCGTATTTTTTCATTGGTCACTTCACGGCGTGCATTACAAATCGGTATTCCACTACACGAGTTACCCGCCCTTGACAAGGGAGGTTACTCTCATTGCCAGTCATTCAGATTTCATGTTCTATTCGACTTTGTAAGAAATCCCGCTATTGTGTTGGTTCAAAACTGACAAATTAGCAGGGTTTCTCTTCGTTTTATGCACCTAATCAGATTTGGAATGAAATATGCAGGTTTGTTCATATTGTGTCTAATTATGAAGGAATTATGTTCAATTCAAACAATGACATTTTGAAATGTTGACACGTGTTTGCCACTCAGTGTCTTTTGATATGCAGATGATCATGTATTTTGCAACTTTGATACAGTTGTATGTCCACAAGTTCAATGTGTACCTTCATCTTACCAATACCTACATATGCCACAAATGCTGTCACTGTTTAGATTAGGCCATGGACAAGATCATTCTCATTCTTTTCTGAATATTTTATTTCTGTTTGGATGGATATTTAAACCGGATATATTTCCGGACAAAACCAAGTATTATTGATCAACTAAATAGATCATGAGAAACATTCGAAGAAAATTAGTAACCTTTTTTCATTATGTTTTTTTTTAAAATAATTTTTTATTATTATTATTTAAAAAAATTTATGTTACAACTTTATATGAACAAACTAAATTGATACGTTTTCTCCACAATGTTTATGCATACTTTTACTGTTACTCGAGCATCAGTACCAACTGTGTTTTTGAAAATTTTGAAATGTGTACCGAAGGTCTGAAATTGCGTTTACGTCAGTTTTTATGGAGTGAATTTTGAAATCTCAGAAAGAAATCCGCGCAGTTATTTTTCCTCTTAATTTGAAATATTCATTTTCAAACAATAGACCCATGTTTGTTTGTTTGTTTTTATATGTGTGGCAATTTGAAGTGCCTTTACATTTTGAAATTTGTGAAAATTCTGAACTTTGCAACCATACTGTCAACACTATGAAGAAGTTGGTGGTCATACATTTTGGTGGCAACAGACAACTGTCCGATGCAAAAATAAGTCTTTAGTTTGTACCATCCTTTTGATGGCTGTCTCACGCCACAATATATTGCATCTACATTGTTTGAAGAAATGAAATGTTATGACTTGCACAATGATCACTATACCATGTGTGTGTAGTCACTCCGCAAAACCGTTAAAAGCCATGTAGGTTTTTGTTTATGTTCTGCACAGTTTGACATCATCATGATCACGTGACATCAACCATCCAATCACATTTAAGGTCTCATGCGCATGGAGCGATGACCAAAAAGACGATTCCAAACATTAAATTAAAACATTTTTGCTTTGCCAAATGATTTTTGGATTTATTTTGAAAATTTTGCTGCTATGATTGTTGAATAAAATTCAATATACTATAAAGATATGTTGGTCGTATATGTGCAGTTGTGAGGGAGTGAGTGTCAGTGTATGTTGGAAGACTGAACAATGTGACGTAGGTCGAGGACATTTTCGGCATGGTCTGGTCGTGACAGATCAAGGATCAGTCCGGATTCTAAGCGACGACCAGCAGATCCGCGCAAGACCAAGGGGCATAAAATGTGTTTTACCAGTGCACACTGACCACTCGTGTCCCAGCTGTCAAATTCACTCAAAGAGCACCTTGCACTTGGACATCTTAGATGTGTGAGTGAGTGTACGAATATTTGGCATGTCCAAGCGATATGGTATCACTAAGATTCGATCGAGGCGCGCAGAATAAGGCCTGTGAGTGGGTAAGTCATGAACGGCACTGATGTTTACAGTGTTTGTTGTTTTACGCCGCACTGTGCAATATTCCAGCTATATGACGGCGGTCGAGTCAATCCAGTGATCAACAGCATGCGCATACACCAACGCAATTTGGACACAATGTCAAACAAGTCAGCGAGCCTGACCGACCGTTGGTGGCCTCTGTTTTAGCAGTGGAATTCTTGTCTGTGTAGTTCGTGGATTAAAATCCTGGATTCGTCCTGGTATGTCAGAACGTAGACTAATGCTTAGTCTTGGAATATGTGTACTTTTGATAGTAACAAATGAACCCACTGAAAACCAATTAAATTGAAACGGAGCCCCAGGGAGACCAGAGAATCAGAAGGCTGTCTTCATTTATGGCGTTACCATTGGAGGGGGGCTGATATGGTTCCGGGACTGTGAGACAGGCTATTCAGAACGGTACTACAGTGGTAAACCTCCATAAGAAGCATCACTTTCATTCCCACCTTAATCTGATACAGCGAACACACTGCAAAGCAGGCTCAGCATCACCTTCGTTCTCACCTAAGGGGCGGTTGGACAGCCAAGTGGTTAAAGCGTTCGCTGGGCTCGCCGAAGACCCGGGTTCCATTTCCCACATGGGCACAATTTATGAAGCCCATTTCTAGTGTCCCCCGCCGAGATATTGCAGGAATATTGCAAAAAGC